GTGACGCCGAGGTAAACAATGACAAATGGCAACGAATGAAAAGCTTCTTCCCTACCCTACTCCTGTGCCGCCTTGCCATATCTCGAATCAATTTAGGTGCTGTTATTTTTTGCTGAGTGCTCATTTTGACGCAGTGTGCCTATGCAGGCGGGGAAACATTTATCAAGCTCGTAATATCCGGAAATTCTAAAAGGTGCTGCTAATTTTATTACAAGCTTTTATGTAGCGTGCCCTCTTTGTCAGTTTATTAGTATGTATGTACATGCTTAATTCTCCTGAAAACACAAAACTAATTAAAAGCCTTCTTTTGACTCCAATATGACGGATGATAAAAAAATGCCGAATTATCATTTCCATATTAACTCCTATGTCATGCATATCAGATGGAAGGGATTGATAAGATAAACGTAATAATCAAAGCTAGTTCATTCTAAATTCAATATGACTGTATGACACAGTACCACCTACGATATGGGTATCTAATCAAAAGGCCTAAATACAAAGTGGCGAAGGTCTAATATGACAATGTTATATTGTCTACTATGACATGTAGCTTGATCTAATGACGTAGTACATGGGAACTCTGTAATAAATCGACGAAAACCCATCGAGTTTCAGTACTCTAGTCCTGGGATCTGATGATAAGTTAGCCGACTTTCATGTAATTCATCATGTATTCATCTATAACAAACAACAAACAAATTTTAGCTTTTCAACATTAGATATTATGCTAAAATATAGGTACGCTTTATTTCTTCGCGATCAATTGAGCAAAGGTACTTATAGATATAATTTTATTAATAAAGTAAGAAGTTTCAGAAAATCCTATTAATAAAATATATAATTATATAGGTGAAAAAACAAAGCTTCCGCCTTTAGTTGGGTACTTCGACAAGATTAAAGCGATGAGGACTCTTCATACTTTATTAGTCTCTAGCTTTCGGCGAACTATGCCGTCACCATCAGGAGCTAGAATAACATTAGGAAGAAATAGCAACTATTGTGCAAAATAATTTTAAATTACTTACAATAGTATGTGAGATTGTTGCTAAATGTTATTACAGGTTCAGTTGAGGGAAACGTTTAGTAAGTAAAAAACACACACAGCTGTAGATCAGGAACACATCACAATGGATTAAAAATATTTGGAATGAAAGTTAAAATTATTGCATGTTATATCGTGAAACAACCACTTGATGCTGCAAAAAAATGGTGTAGGATAAGTAGAATGAAACATTTGACAAATGACAGAAGGCTGGTAGTGTCAGCGTCGATAGATGGAACAAAAGTTTGTAAAAATATGTGCTATGTTGCCAAATCACTTGAGATGGTGTGATTTATCAAGATATGTTAAATAAAAACTTGTCAACAGACCAGAGGCAGTTGAACAAACTATATTATTAATGAGATGGACAATTGAATTAGCAATTATTTTATTATGAGAAAAAACATTAATTATTAAAAATTATTTGAATGGCATGGAATTTTGGAGGAAAAGGATGGAATAGAACAAAAAAACAGATTCCATTTATGGTTGTGAAGAATCAAATTTTGGAGAGATGTGTAAGTGCTGCAACTTTTCGCAGTTTAGCAAATATAAGTAAATGACGCTCAGTTGCTTTACATCTGCCTTTTTATTCATACAGTTGTTACTCATGAAAATGTGGGTCATTTCCAGGAATAAACGTTTGGATAGGTGTTTTTCTCTATCAAGAACTTTGATACTTGTGTAGTTCATCAGGTGCCCTGTTGTATTGACATGAGATGCCAGAACACATCTCTCGGGATGAAGTCTAGAATCACTTTTGTGTGATGTAATCTGGAAGTCTGACCTATGTATATTTATTTGTTGGTTAAGCCAAGCAACGGGACTCTGTCTTTCATCTTTGAAAAAATACAGTTTATAGTGAGAACGGATTTGCAAGCAATTCGACAGTTCATTAGCTACATAGTATTAAAGTATTTTCACCACCTTAAATGCACAGGTTCTTATCCAGAAAGAGGTTATGACCATAGTGCCCTATTAGAGTTTTTCAATTTGGATTCACTGTCAACAAGACAAAACATATTTGCTTTGTCGTTTTTGTATGGCCTCATTCACAATAAAATTGACTGTCAAAATTTACTTGAAAAAATATGTTTCCATGTTCCAAGGCTATGGAGTCGACAACAAACGGCATTCTATTGTCAAGCTGGCCGTACAAATGTTATGACAAAATCGCCAATTAATCTCATGTGCTGCGTCATGAACAGTGTTACTGAATCGTGTGATATTTACAGTGACAGTTGCGCATCGATTATTAACTGCTATAGATCATCCAATCTTATTTAGAATGTGTGATACTATAGATTTAAGTCCAAGAACCATGTCTCTTTAATTGTTTTTTTTTCAGCGTTTCCTGTAATTGGGTTTCACCTATTGGAAATAAATAAATAAATAAATAAATAAATAAATAAATAAATAAATAAATAAATAAATAAATAAATAAATAAATAAATAAATAAATAAATAAATAAATAAATAAATAAATAAATAAATAAATAAATAAATAAATAAATAAGTAAATAAATAAATAAATAAATAGTCTGATTAGCTTAGGGATCAGTTCTTTGATGTAGGGTAGAACAGCAAAGCCAGATCTGGAATTTGGGATGGAGCTTATATTATATTATTAGGTGTTGTGAGAATATTATTTGGCAAAATACTGGAAGGAGAGCCGAACAAGGTCTTGTTAATCAAATACTTCGGATAACCATTGTTGATGAACAGTTTTGATAGCTTCCGTAAGTTTGAAGTATGGAAAGTATTGTCAGAGATGCTAATTACCCTTGTTTTCATCTGCTTCATCAAGTTGATTTTAATCCTTAGTTTATGGTATGACCTATAGTTGAGGAAGACATGGGTTTCTGGTACCAGTCTACCAATAAACTATTATTGTTGGTGCGGATGAGTCTTGTATCTAGAAAAGAGACAGACAGGTTCTCATCCTCTTTTTCAGTGATAAATTGGATGTAGAGGTCATAGCTGTTGAAATCTTCGACAATACTATCTACGCCTCTGGAGGGAAACGTTGAGTTGAATGGGCTTCAATGTCGTTTAAAGATATATTTTTTTTCATGTTGGGAACTTATTTAAAGTTCGTAGACTGAACGAGAAACTCATTTAAATTCCTTGTATTGGCCGATGGAGGAGTCATCCAATATTATTATTTTTGTCATGTCACAGAATAAAGGTTGTTTTCCTCACACCTAACGGAAGTCTGACCTCCATGGTCACAGAGTGAGGACAAACTTAATATATCACACTACGAATTATTACGCCACAGCTTTCGTGAAATACGGTCAGAGTGAATGCGCGGTTTTCTTGGCCCTAAAAATAATTTAAATTTGAAATTGGTCGCATCTATGAAAGTTTTGTATTTAAATTTTTGAAACCTCTGTATTTTAAACTTTCATCCACATCTTTTTCTTATAGTACTTGACAATTATATAAATTATGGTGATTTTGCCATATTGCTTAGTATTTACCTTAAAATACACCGGGACACAAAACATATAGGGGAAACCCGGGCAAAGTGAATACCTTAAGCTGTTTTTGGTTATTGTAGATTAGTTATAACCGGGGAAATTAAAACAAATATTTATAAGCAGTCTTTATTTAAAGGACTAACGGAATTGTATAAGATTCTTCCTAAATATTAATTAAATTAAAAGTTATTAATCGAATTAACAAGAGTGACTAACTATCCACCTTGCCCGGGATTCCGGGTAAAGTGAATATGATACCAGGGCAAAGCGAATAGCAACATTATTTGGCTTGAAATTAAACTTACAAAGGAAATAAACCTTGAAAATCAGGAAAAAATATTTAAAATAACATGTTTCTAATTTTTGCAGTTATCGCAAACAAAATCGTCACTGCCTTCGAAGGCTGAGCACTCTTCATGGCACCATTGAGTACAAATACTACATTGTATCCAGTTTTCCGTTGGCTGATCATCTTCTTCAATGTACATTTCACCACAGAAAATGCAGCTGACATCATCAAATTTCCGTATTTTTTTCTGATTTCCATTTTCTTTTGCACTCCTCTTTGCTTTTTTATCAGTGATTTTAGATTTAACAGTTTTTTTGTTACCAGTCTTCAGAGAAGTTTTCGTCGAAACATCATCTAGTGGCTTCATAGCAGGCTTTTTTCCTTTTTCAAATTTCTGTTTCTGCTCTTCTTTTACTGGAGTACTCGTCAGTATACTAGATCTTTGTAACCTCCGTTTACGTGTTGTTGTTGGTCTAGCAGGCTGAGGAATAGGTCTCAAAACTGAAGGACTATAGTAGGTCTTAGAACATCCAGGTTCGGGTGAAGCGGCGGGAACAGTATTGCCATAGCTTTCTTTTTTAGTTTCAGATCTAATAGGAGTGCACGGTCGATCTTCAATATATACGTATATATTTACTTCGTCTTGAGACTGAAAATCACCTAAAGCAACAACTTCACCTGATGACGCAATAGGTAAAGAACTAACAGATTCTATAGTCTGTAAGGTTTCTCCTTCAATAGGGTTTATGAATGAATGAGAATGTTGAGTGGCATTTGCAAATGAAGGTGATATGGGCTGATCTTGAGGTTCAATCGAAGGTAACGCTTCAACAGCGGACTCGGGTAAATCAATGCTTTCTATTGGGGCCAAAGTTCCAGCTTGACTGTTTAAAGTGGATGTACCTGCAAGTACCTCGGCTGGTGTGAAATGCTCATCACCAAATGCGTGCTTGTTTACAGGCCAAATCCCAGGTTTTTCAAATCCATGCACTGCATTGATGGCCACGGCAGCTTTGAGATAAGCTGGTGCTAGCAATCTAGATACATCGTACTGATTAATGATGCGGCCAGGGTGAGATTTTTGGAAAATGTTAACTTCCCTTTCGAAATGCGTTTTCAGTGGGCCATACACCAACATCCATAGGTTGCATTTTGTTTGTAGTATGCGGTGCTAAGGATAATATTACCACGTTATTCTTGGTGGATACTCAAGTGCAGGATAATATTTGTGGCTTTCATGGTTATCCAATATTAGTAGAACCTTTTTATCTGCTGTTGGCCTCACTTGCTCTACGAAAAAATGGATCCAGTTCAAGAAGACTTCCCCTGATGTCCAGCCATTAGGAGTACACGTTGCTTGAGTCCCTGGAGGACTACCATCAAGAAGCCTTGCTTGCATCTTCTTTCTTGCAAAAATCAGGAAAGGTGGAAGAAAACTGCCAGCAGCATTACAACACCCGATGACGGTTGTCAATTGGCCGCGTTCTGCACTTGCAATCATACCCACTTGTTTTTTCCCTTTTACGGAGATAACCTTTGGAGGCCTATTTGAGGTCGTTGATATTCCGGTTTCGTCCATATTGTATAGTCTGGAGGCTTCAATGTTATTTTTCTCAATGGCAGATTCAAGATTTTCATAAAAATGGCTCACTTCGCGGCGATTAAATCCTTTCAGCCTCGCTACAGATGTTGATTCTGGAGTTCTTAGTGTCAAGTTGGTATGACGTGATAAAAACCTTTGCAGCCATTCTTCTCCAGCTTTTTTATTTTTATTCCAACTCTCAGGGTAACGCAAATTGTTGCGGTGTGCATACTCAAATGCTAGACTCATGAATTCATCCCGAGTAAGGCCAAAAAAAACTGCGTCCATATCTTGCAGGTATGTCACCAGTTCAATTTCTTGATCCTCCGTGAATGTAGGACGAAATCGACCGAGCTGTGCGGAAGCGTTTCCACTTTTGACATGTCTGTAAAGGGTAGCATACGCAAGTCCATATTTGTTGGCTGTCCCTTTAATAGATTCTCCAGCCCTACATAAATTTATTGCAGTCTGCATAACGTCTCTACTCCAAGTACCTTGCGTCGTCTTTTTTTTATATTTATTCACCATCTGTAACAGAAAAATACTTGATATAATATAAAATTGTATGAAATTATATTACACGCCATGACCGGGCAAAGTGAATACAGTATCCGCCTTGCCCGATCCGCTTTGCCCTTCGGGTACAGCTTTGAGGTTATGCCAGGTCATAAAAAAAACAGTTTATCTAAGTTCATCAACTACACATAGTTGAAAGCTCTATAACCATGCATTGAATCCCCTGCATAAACAAAAACATGCCACCAAAAACATAATAGATATAAGCGAAACACTTACCTCTGTAAATTAATATTTCTGGTACAGAAACACACTTTGTCCACTCAATGGCGGCATGCTACGCAAATTCGCGCCAAAGTGATTTCCGCGAACTAAGCGGCAACAGGCGACTCTTGATTTGACAGCGCGGCTGCCGGCCAACGAAAAATTTGGAAGTAGTGGGGACTATTCGCTTTGCCTGGGGTATCCACTTTAGACGGGTTTCCCCTATAAAAAGGTGCTCTGCCACTGCGCTGACGCTAAAAAAAGGTTCCCATTATTCATTTGTCTCAATTTTCGTTTCTGTTGTGAACGCAGCGGTGCAACACTATCATTTTTATATAGAACCACGCGCTCGAAAAAAATGCTAAATTAAATATATGAGATTAGGTGAGTTTTGGATAAAATGTGAAATTCAGGATTTCAGGGTATAATCAAGACCTAAAAAGTAAGAAGAATAGGCTAACGAAAGTTTAAAATATGTATTTACCAAAATATTAAAATAAAAAATTTGGTAGAAGCAATCAACTTGAAATATGAAACTTTTAAGGTCCAAAGACCATCTTGTGGATCATGATGATTTCCGACTAAACTATGTAGAGTAAGTATTGTCATTTATCGTTCAAGGAAAAAGTGAAAATATTTAGAATACACTTGTTGTTGTGTTTTTGTCTGTGCCGTCATGTAAAATTAACAAATATATCATGTTATGGCTATTGACGTAGCTGATAAAAGATGTGCTATTCTTTTCCTTTAAAGACTCAATATCTGAGGAACTGAAAACGCAGAACATAATATTTCAGTTTATTCAGTCTATCCAGACATTTGATAAAATACATTGTACTGACCTACATCTTCCTACAATTAGTTGCGATTTCCTCATGAGGTTATTTTTTGCAACACAGCTAGGACCCATCCGGATAAACACGGCAGACTTATTGTTTGGACACCGCCCAACGTGCTACGGCCAAGAAAGCTGGTGAGCTGCTGCAATGTAAGACATTCCACGTCCCTTGAAATTTTAATTGCGTTCATATTTGTGCGTTCAACCGTGCGCTGTTTATTGGAACGGCAGCACGAGCCAGCAGCTACCGTTCGTTGTTGCATTGTTCAGCCTCCTGCAGATCCACTGCTCCCTCTTACCCGGCATTGACGTCCGAATGGCTGAGCGGAAGGAGCTTGGTTTATTATACGAGGACCTTAAACTAAGTGATCAGGCTGGCAACTTGGCGTTCGATCTGGCAACACTGAAGGCAGCGGGCTTAGAAGGGAGACAGCGGAACATGCGATCCGCCTTCAGTACAAGTTTGAACTCGCTTGAGTTATTTGGTTGTCCGTAGCGGATTTTTTTGTGTTTCTTCCATTGTGTTCTAAAAGTGAATGATATCAATTTCGAGCAACGTTCTGCTATCGGGTTTTGCTTTAGAGTTGGGCACAGTGCAACTGAAACTCTTGCTAAACTTCAGCAGGCTTACGGAGATAGTGTTCCATCAAGCGCCCAGGTTTTTCGGTGGTATAACGCATTTTCAGAACAAAGAAAGTCGATTGAAAATGAACCACGAAGCGGAAGGCCTTCATCTTCAAGATCGGATGAAATATTGACAGAATTCGAGATATTGTGCGTTCAAATCGTCGGTTGACAGACATTCATGTGACTCCTCAGTCTACTCATTCACCTGACTTGAGTCCTCGTTCCTTTTTTCTCTTTCCGAAGTTGGAAAATCATCTCTGGGAAACTCATTTTGGGACAGTCGAAAACATTCAAACGGCTGTACCCGACCAGCTGAAGGCTATTGCAGTACCGGGATTCAAGCACTGCTGTGAGGAGTGGAAGAACCGTCTCCAGCGATGTGTGGCTTCAGAAGGAAGTTATTTTGAGGTTGACAATTATATTTGAATAAAAAAATTAAAAAAAAATCAGTCTCATCGCTTAATTTACACACCTCGTATGTTATCCGGACATGGTTCTATCAGTACCAGCCAAAAGAAAAAGTAACCGCCTAAGATGCCAGATTTCGATAAAGTCTCTTGATCCGTTGAAAGTGAAATCCCAAATTACGTAGGTCATCCCATCTACCTATGCACAACCTCAAAATTATATTTGATCATCAAAACATTCAAAATCGTAATCAATTCCGAAATATGTGAGGAATGACACGATGCATTTTGCCTTGTAAGAAAAACAGTAGAGCATCAAGACTCCAGTTGCATTCGCAGAGTGTTACGTGACCTGTTTGACGTTAGGGGAAAACTTAATTTTCTAACTAGGATTTTGCATTGAACCATGCAATATTTTATAAACCGAGAGCTATTTTTTAAGTACGAACCGGTTAGGAATGCAGTCAGAGAAACTAGAGAAACTACGTTCACGAACAAAAGTTTTTTTCCTTAGTCGCCATAAACATTTAAATCTGTCAATTCGTGTCACCAGCTTTTGGATCCCGTCGTGAAAGAACGCTACCGCCTGACCGTTAAACCAGTTGGTAGCTGTTCTTCCATCGTATCGTCACTTTCCAAGCGCTTTTCACCAAGAAGTTCCTTAAGTTTTCGAGAAAGTTGAGTATCTGAGGGTGCTAAGTCAGGGCTGTATGGTGGATGATCCAGTTATTCTCAACGAAACAGCCGTGAAGCACAATTACGTTGCTAGAGAACAGCATAGCAGCAACGGTTTTGAATAGCGCGCCTCCAAGCTTCAGTAATGTTTTTCTGCACCTCTCGGCACTTATACCAGAACGAACATTTTTGCGTTTATAAAACTAAATTATGGAGCTCCCTTCACAATCGTCGGGTTTTCTGTGTGTCGTGTGGCATGTCGACAAACACAGCAGTATAACCAAACAACGGAGCCCCATAGAGACGTGAAACGTAATGTCGGCGTAGTGCAGCACTGGACAAGAGTGTTTGAGGTTAAACAGACGTCACGTGACAGAATGTGCGGGCACGACGCGCAACCGGTTCGGCCCTCGTATGTTGAGACATAGAGAAAAAGGGAGACGACATACAGATTTTAACGATTTACCTTTGTTTTCAAAAGGCTGTAAATTATTATTTCCGCGATGCCCGTCGCTCTACCGTCCGAAAGACATTATCTCAATCAATGTTATCAAATTTCAAACAACAATTCTTTCCTTGCCCACCCGGTGGTGCATCTAGAAACGTAGCCTCTCCCCGATACTTAACCCGGTCAGATGTGGCAGCGCGATCAGAGCATAGAAAACACTATGCTGTGGCGCGGCATAAATACACTAAGTGACATATAAATCCGAACACCCAGTTTAAATGGTTTTATTTTAATAAAGTTGGTGAATGTATTTATCTTACTGTAAATAACAAGTGAAAAAATTTTCAGCCTTATCAGTTGGACATTCCGGTTTTTATACTGCTTTTTTTAATTCACTAACGCTCTAAAAATGAATATTTAGCCGCAGTAAAGAATCAACGTTGGCGGATTTTGGTTCTTGACATCCTTTACGATCGGTTACGATGCCTAGAGTACGGAGACCTGTACGATTTCGTCAACTTAGTGAGCTTGATAGGGGCCGTATAGTGGGACTTCGGGAAGCTGGACTTTCTTTTCGGGCAGTTGCAGTTAGAGTGTAAAGAAGTGTAGCCACTGTGGTTAGGTGTTGTCAGGCATGGCTTCGAGAAGGCCGTACGCAAAGAGCAAGGGGCACTGGACGCCGCCGTAGAACAACAGACCGTGAAGATCGCCGCCTAATATTATTGGCCTTAAGGGACCGTTTCTCCACTACCAGGTCCATTGCAAATGAATGGTTTGCAGAACACGGAAGACCTATTGGCATGCACACTGGGTCCTCCCTTTAACTCGAGAACACCGACGTAATCGCCTTGAGTGGTGCAGACAACGGTCACTCTGGGATCAGGAATGGAACAGTATTGTCTTTATTGACGAGTCTCGATTTTGTTTAGGCTTGCACGATGGTCATGCCAGGGTTAGAAGGCGACGTGGTGAAAGGAGGAATCCACAGTTTTTTGTTGAAAGACATGTTCATCACACTGTTGGAGTTATGGTTTAGGGCTTGGCTTACGGTTCCGGGTCACCTTTAATCTTCATCACAGGTAACATGAACGCGCAGCGTTATATCCACGAAGTTCTAGAACCCCATCTTTTACCCTATCTTGACACCCTGGCAGATCCAACTTTCCAACAAGATAATGCCCGACCACATGTTGCAAGAGTCACAATAGACTTCTTTCAACATAATGATGTCACATTGTTACCATGGCCACCAAGATCTCCCGACTTATCCCCAATTGAGCACGTGTGGGATATGATGGGTAGGAGATTGCTCAATTTGCAACGTCCTCCTCAGACTCTAGAAGCACTTCGAGAGGAGTTGGTGGTTGCCTGGAATGAGATACCACAGGAGGACATTGACCACCTGATCAGAAGCATGCCTAGGCGCGTTGGAGAATGCGTAGCACATCAGGGTGCATCCACACATTATTAAAGGTCAAAGGGCTTAAAGCAATGCAACCATTTTGAAATTTTTATCATTTACTTATTATGCTTCATTAAGTACTTATACAAAATTTTATTAAAATAAAACCATATAAACCGGGTGTTCGGATCTATATGTCACTTAGTATATATGTAAGACCTAAACAACAGAACTTTCATGAAGGCCGGAGGCACGCTGCCGGGAGCAGCAGCCGCGGACGGTAGGTACGCGATTCGTCTGCTGTGATTTTTTTTTAAATGCTAATATATGGAGAAGTCTATGATGTGTAAA